AGATGCTTCGTGTACATTGACCCTCCGATGTTTTGAATCCCTGAGATGCTCTCGAAATCTTCCTTCACGCGCTTCATCTTCTCCTCGCTCGGCCAGTTTAGGAACTTCGGCATCAAAACGGTGCGTATCGCGCCGCAGACCTCGAGGACGAGCTTGTGGCACGTCGAGATTCCCAAGCCGAAGCGCTTCGACACCAGCCGGAGCGGGTCCCCCGTCGCCAGGCGCCAGATGCACACCGCCACGCGCTGCCGCACCGGAATCGCGTCGCGGAGCATCGTGTTCTTCTTTGTAATCGCCGCGTCGAGCTCGTCGCAGATCATGTCGAATGTGCTTCTGCTCATTCGGAACCACCGCCGGAACTCCTCCTCCGGGAAGTCGTTGCGGCTGATCCGCTCCCACCAGTCCTTGGACCGGTCCTTCACCCACAGCCTCCGCTGAACCGAACCGGATTCCGAGCCGGTTTGGTTCTGGATCTGAACCGAAGCGGTTTGAGTCTGAACCGAAGCGGTTGCTGCTGCTGTGGCCGCGCGGCGGGCTTTCTTGACTGCTTTATGATCTAACTCGTCGGATTGGGCGTAATGGGCTTCGAATTGGGCTTTGTAAGTGTTCATGGATTGGGCCTGGTGGTCGAAGGTGGCATTGAAGATGGCGCGGTGTTGTTCGGACTCGATTATTCGGTTTCGTTCTTCGCGGGCTTCCTCCTCGTCTAAGACAATCAGCGAAGCGAGTAAGTCCTTTAAGTCACTATCGTTGGTGTTGTTATTACCGTTGTGCCCTTCGTCTTCTTTTCGGTTACGCTTTCTATTGCTGCTGCTGTTGTTGTTATTATTGTTGGGGTCTGCGTCTGAGAAGAGGTTGTAGAAGTGGGAGTAGTCTTCCGGGGTTAGAAACGGGACGGGGCCGATTTCCATGTGCCGCGTTTGGTGGTGGGTTTTGTGTTTTGTGAGAGGAGACGTGTGAACGGTGGAGATTTTTGGTTTTTGCGTTGGGGGGTTTTATAGGCGAAGGAAGCGTGTGTGGAAGTGTGAACGCGATGCTTTGACGGTGACTATGATTTGGGAGGATAAAACAATGATTATATGCGTTTTGGGAAGCGCGGTTTTTTACGCGGTTGGATTGGTGTGGAGTGGGGGTTTCTTTGGGGAAGTTGATAGTTTTGGAATTTTGTGGGTTGGGAAAGGGAAAAGAAGAAAAGGTGGACTCGGAATGGAAGAGAAGCGGGGAAGTTTCGCTTTTCAGATGTGGAAGGAGTTAAGAAACCATGTAGGGTTCGATATGCAATAAATAGAATAGTTAGAAAATATATTATAAAAATCTAATTTTATTTTATTTTAAGAAATTATTTATTGTATATTATGTAACAATGAACACATAATGAGAGATCTATTATATAAGTATAAAATGTACGGTTGAGGATGACTTAAAAAATTAATTTATATTACATGTATCAACAAAATGTTTATATTTTTTGGTAGTTCATCATATAAAAACTTCACAATTAACTATGTTTGACTTGAAGTAGTTTAGGGATAGGAGACCTTCTAAGAAATTTCTCAAAAAGTGTGTACGTGAGGATAAAACACGTTGAAAAGTCTTGTGTTAGTTTGTGGAGTCAGTTAGTTCGTCATTAATCTTAAAAGCGGACAAACATCTTAGAAAGGACTATTCACAGAGGATTCTTACTGATTATTAGTTCTAGCTAACAAGAAGTTGTGTGAATTGTCATCGTGTGAAGTGTTATGAAGTGGAACCTTGAAATTCAAGTATGAGGGGTGCTATAAATGGTATCAAAGTAGGTCTCTCTCTCCTAATATGGTGTGATTTGGAGATAAACCAAGCGAAAGCTAGTGGGCTTGTAACAATTCGATCGGAAATGAGAAGGATCCAAAAATTGTTTAAGTATGAAATTGTATGGTTAAGAATGACTTAAAAAAATTAATTTGTATTACCTATTACAACAAAATGCATCTACTTTTTTTGTAGTTCATCATATAAGAACCCTACATTTAAGCGTCTTTGACTTAGAATAATTTAGGGATGGTGACCTCTTGGGAAGTTTCCCAGAATGTATGCAAGTAAGAACAAAGTATGTTGAAAAGTCTTGTGTTGGTTTGTAAAGTCAGTCGTTGATCTTAAAAGTGGATATACATCTCAAAAAAGGCTACACACAAAAAATTTTAACCAATAAAAAATTATGTAAAATGTCACCATATGAATATGAAGTATTGTGATGTAAAATTATTGAAAAATTAGATATGATTAGAGCCGTCAAAATGGGCCGTGGCCCGTGGGCCAACCCGGCCCACCTTGAAAACGGGCCGGGCCGGGCCAAAATAAACAATAGCTTTATGATAAGTGGGTAATTTTAAACCCGGCCCACTTTTACCCGGCCCACTTGGGCTAAATCCGTGGTGGGCCGGGCAGCCCACCAGCCCACTTATTTTTTTTTATTACAACTGAGCCAACCCAAATACTAAATAGGAACAGAGACTCAGAGAGCATAAAGTGGAAAAATTGAAAACCCTATTCTAGCAAGGAAGGGACCACGCCACTCCGCCTTCAGCTTCGGCATCACGAAGGCTCTCTCTACTTCACTGCTTCATCTTGGTGCCCCTCTACACTGACTCTGACTCTCCCTTTGCAAGTGGCTTCAACTTAACGAAGGTGCCCCTCTTCACGACTCTGACTCTGTTGCTAAGTTTCATTTTTTTTTCTCACTTTGTAATTTGGGGTTTAGGTTAGATTCATCTCCTATCATTTGAGGCAGTGTTATTAAGATTTGAGAATATGGCCCTTTCAAACCCCCAAGAGATTAGACGTGAGCCTAAATTGACAAATGAATATTTTTTTGATATGATTGCACGCAGCTAGACCGATTAAATAACAAACCTTAAACCGAAAACTTGTGTCGAGCGTGCAGGATAGTCCAACAGCGCTGGCCATGTTAGAGAAACCTATCATATGATTACAGTTGTTATTCATCTAATTAAAATATACTTTACTTTTTTTTATGCTATTTATTATTATTATTATTATTTTGCAAAATAGTTTTATTATGTGGTGAAGGCGTGATTGCAATTTCGTGTCTGGGCGGTGGCTCTTCTTGGTTCTTGCAACTCAAATGCTTATTACTTTATTTATTTTATGATATTTTTTGAATTTTATAGAATTTATTAGTTAGATGACAATTTGCAAAAGGATGGTAATTGGTAAAACAATCTACAAGGCTAGGATATATAGAAGTTGGGCAGGTAAAACAATTTATTATTATGATTATTATGTTATTTGAAATTTGAAAATTTTTTTTTTTGGTGGGTTGGTGGGCTGGCCCGTTTGACCCACCAACCCGTGGTGGGCCGGGCCGGACCATAAAAATTCTAAAAATATAAAAAGTGGGCCGGGTTGGGTTGGCCCGTTTTTAAGGTGGGCCAAAGTGGGCTGGTCCACATGGGCCGGGCTGGCCCGTTTTGACAGCTCTAGATATGATAAGTGTTACATGTTAAAAAATTTAGCACATAATAAAATAAGTGTGAATTTAGTTAATAATAAATTAAACGTAAAGTATATTAAAAAAGTGATGTTAAAGGTGAAGAGATAATGGTAAAATTGATATGGCAAAAAGATAGTAGAAATAATGGAAGTAAGAAGCTAGAAATGGGAAGAAGGTGGTTTGTTTAATGATAATGGTAAATGGTAATAGGAACAGCAGTAATGGCATGCCAATAATAATAGATTAAATCGGTTGGGATTAAATGGCAGAAGTACGATCATAACGACACGATTACGAATAATATATTATTGTTATTTTTATTGTGAGATAAATATATAATTCGTATCTATTTTTATATTTATGTAAGTATTTATTAAGTAGATGTTTATTAATATTTATGAATATCTGTAAATATTTATTAAAAATTACAGTATAAAAATTACATAAAATAAAATTTATATAAATAAAAAATTTGTATAATAAAATTGATAAATAAGTTCCACATATTTTATAAATAAAAAAATCTGCATAAAAAAATTGCATAACCCTTAATACATATATAATCTAAAGAATTTTTTTATAAATTAAGTAATTTAATATTAATAAATATTCGTGAGTTAATATATTATGATACTCATTCTTGTCCCATTAATATATGAGTACATAAAAAACTGGTAGTTGTTGTTACTCGTAAATATTTATTAACGATACTCATTTTTCCTATAGTAGATATTATGTACATGCATTTTTTTTTGTCATCCTTAGATACTATTGTTTACACTTATATAAACTTTTATTTTTGTTAGAGTGGTTTTAAGAGTATTCTTTGACGGAAGTATTTGTAGAATTTTTGTTAATTTTTTATCTATTTTTTTATTTTTTATTTTGTCATATATTTTTTTATAAATTAAACTAACATCTATATATTAAAAGCTAAGAAACCACTAAGGTTAGTTGAGTTGAAGAAATTGGGGTAGTAGAAGCAGGCGAACATTCTATCCCTATTGTTTTTAAATATATTTTTTTAATTTTTTATATAACTTAATTTTTTATTTATCTTATTTATTTGTGAATTAATTTAATATTTTTAAAATAAATTATCAATAATTAAAATAATATTCTATTATAATATAAATTATTTATCTATTATCTAAAATATAATTTATATATTTAAATATAATATTTATTATATATATAATTTATTATAAATTTTAGTTATATATAATAAACATTTAACTTAATGCAGAAACTAAAAATTTTAGTTATGTATTAAACCAGATTGTGAGTTAAAAGTCTACTTCCAAAATGAAAATTATTTTACACTCTTATAGCAACTTTAATTAAAGTATCTCAAGTGTGTATCTACTCTCTATTCGATCTCATGTTGTTACATTATTTAAGCAAAAGTCACTAATTTTTTTTCTTCTAATAATTAATTTTAAACAATTATTAAGACACTCACATTTTTTTATTTGTTCTTAATATTGTATGAAATTAAAATATTAATCAATTATTTTAACTAATTTATATAAAAAAAATATCTAATTTATTTTACTAATTTTTATCATAATTAGTAAAAAAATGTCTTTGTTGTGGCATCAAGCCAGAAAATAAACTCTAAGAAATCAACTGATTGCTCTCTCTCTCTCTCTCTCTCTCTCTCTCTATCTCTCTCACTCTCTCTCACTCTCTCTAATGGAAGCTGTTGTGAATCTGCAGCTTAACTTTATTATTTATGAAAACAGTCATTATATAGAATGATCATAACAGAATTACAATCAAATAAAACAAATTCTAACAAATCAATCTTATCAGTAAAATTAACTAACAAACTATTTATTATCAGATTAACAATATCAAAACAGATGAATCTTATCCTAATACTCCCCCTCAAGTTGGAGCATGGAGGGAGGAAATGCCCAACTTGGACAATAAAAATTGAAACTGCTTTCTACCGAGAACTTTAGTTAGAATATTTGCAGGTTGGGAATCAGTCCGAATGTGTTGTGTGGAAATAGTTTTGGACATCACATGTTCTCGAACAAAATGACAGTCGAGTTCAATATGTTTTGTCCTTTCATGAAAAACTGGATTAGAAGCAATATGAATAGCAGATTGACTATCACAATTATTATCTAAAATATAATTTATATATTTAAATATAATATTTATTATATATATAATTTATTATAAATTTTAGTTATATATAATAAACATTTAACTTAATGCAGAAACTAAAAATTTTAGTTATGTATTAAACCAGATTGTGAGTTAAAAGTCTACTTCCAAAATGAAAATTATTTTACACTCTTATAGCAACTTTAATTAAAGTATCTCAAGTGTGTATCTACTCTCTATTCGATCTCATGTTGTTACATTATTTAAGCAAAAGTCACTAATTTTTTTTCTTCTAATAATTAATTTTAAACAATTATTAAGACACTCACATTTTTTTATTTGTTCTTAATATTGTATGAAATTAAAATATTAATCAATTATTTTAACTAATTTATATAAAAAAAATATCTAATTTATTTTACTAATTTTTATCATAATTAGTAAAAAAATGTCTTTGTTGTGGCATCAAGCCAGAAAATAAACTCTAAGAAATCAACTGATTGCTCTCTCTCTCTCTCTCTCTCTCTCTCTCTATCTCTCTCACTCTCTCTCACTCTCTCTAATGGAAGCTGTTGTGAATCTGCGGCTTAACTTTATTATTTATGAAAACAGTCATTATATAGAATGATCGTAACAGAATTACAATCAAATAAAACAAATTCTAACAAATCAATCTTATCAGTAAAATTAACTAACAAACTATTTATTATCAGATTAACAATATCAAAACAGATGAATCTTATCCTAATACTCCCCCTCAAGTTGGAGCATGGAGGGAGGAAATGCCCAACTTGGACAATAAAAATTGAAACTGCTTTCTACCGAGAACTTTAGTTAGAATATTTGCAGGTTGGGAATCAGTCCGAATGTGTTGTGTGGAAATAGTTTTGGACATCACATGTTCTCGAACAAAATGACAGTCGAGTTCAATATGTTTTGTCCTTTCATGAAAAACTGGATTAGAAGCAATATGAATAGCAGATTGACTATCACAATATAGTGTCATTGGCATGGAATGAGAGACACTAAGATCTTGCAGAAAAGCTTTGATCCATAGTAGTTCAGAAGTGGCAACTACCATGGAACGATATTCAGCTTCAGCAGAGGAACGAGAAATGGTGTGTTGCTTCTTAGATTTCCATGAAATAGGGGATTGACTGAGTGTGATAAAGTAGCCAGTGATGGATCGTCGAGTAATAGGACAACTTGCCCAATCAGAATCGCAATATGCACGAAGATGAAGATCACAAGTGGAACAGATAAGTAGTCCTTGACCTGGATTACCCTTGATATAACGCAGGACTCGCAACATTGCATCATAATGTTCTTGGAGAGGATGTTGAAGAAATTGAGAATGTGTTTGTACAGCATAACTCAACTCAGGTCGAGTAATGGTAAGATAAAGAAGGCGACCTACAAGACGTCGATAACGTGTGGGATCATCGTAAGTTAGACCATCTGCAAGGGCCAATTTATGATTCTGATCCATGGGAAAATCAGATGGTTTACACCCAAGTAATCTGCATTCATGCAAGATATCCATAGCAAATTTGCGTTGACTCATAAATATACCAGAGGAGCTACGAGCAAATTCAATACCGAGAAAATATTTAAGTTTGCCAAGATCCTTGATTTTGAAACAAGAGTTAAGATGAATCTTAACTTGATCACAAGCAGATTTGTTGTTTCCAGCCAAAAGGATATCATCAACATATATAAGAACCACAACGAAATCCTAATCTCTTGTGAAGGTGAACAACGTGTAATCAACTTTGGATTGTTGAAATCTGAAATTAAGAAGAGAGTCACCAAGTTTAGCAAACCAATTTCACGGTGACTGCTTGAGACCGTAAAGGGAACGTTGTAATTTGCATGCAGAGCCAGGAGAACCAACAAAAAAACCAGGAGGAAAACGCATATACACTTCTTCTTCAAGATCTTCGTGGAGAAAAGCATTATGAACATCCAATTGATAAATATCCCATCCTTTTGCAACAACTACAGAAAGAAAAGTGCGTACACTCACCATTTTTGCAACAGGAGCAAAAGTTTCATTATAATCTTCTCCTTCAATTTGGTTATTACCTGCAATAACTAATTTAGCTTTGTATCTTTCTATAGAGCCGTCAGAATGATACTTGATTCAAAAAATCCACTTACAAAGAATTGCTTTCTTTCCTGGAGGGAGAGAAGTGACAACCCAAATGTGGTTATCCTCAAGAGCCTGAATTTCAAGTTTCATAGCTTGTTGCCAAAGTGGATCCTTCATGGCTTCTTTAAACGAACGTGGCTCAATGGTGTTACTAACAACCGCTAAGAATTTTTGGTGTTGTGAGGAAAAATTATGATTAGTAACAAAGTGCTCAATAGGATAAAGAATACCTGAGGGAATGCTAGATAGAGTGGTAGTAGAAGAGGGTGTAGTAGCATTGCGACAATAATAGTCTTTAAGATGTGCCAGTGGTCGATGAGATCTACTTGTACGTCGAAGAGGCATGGAAGATGGAGATGAAGTATCAACAGAACTCCCCCTTTCAACAGACTCTGGATCAGGTAAAGGTGCAACATCTGAAGAGGAAGTACGAGTATCATGTGGTTCATACAAAATCATAGATGTGGAAGTAGGATGTATGGGAGCTGGAGGAATGTCCGTGGTAGGTGATGCAAATGGAAATTCATCCTCAAAAAATTTAACATCACGAGAGACAAAAATCTCCTTTGTATCTAAATTAAACACCTTCCAACCCTTTTTGTTAGATGGGTAGCCTACAAAAACACATTTTTGTGAGCGTGCAGCAAACTTATCAAACAGTTTAGGCAAAATTGTAGAATAACACAAACAACCAAGGACCCTAATATGGTAATAACTGGGTGGAGTATCATGAAGTACTTCATAGGGACATTTTACATTGAGCAATTTAGTGGGAGTTCGGTTAATCAAATGAGCATCTGAGAGAATACATTCACCCCACAAGTCAATAGGAAGATGTCCATCAAATTGCAAGGCACGAGCCACATTAAGAATATGATGATGACGTCGTTCGACTCTACCATTCTGTTGTGGCGTATATGTACATGATAATTGTTGAATAATGCCACGGTTTTCAAAGAAAGAACGCAAATGGGTAGAAACAAATTCAGTCCCATTATCAGTTTGAACCCTTTTAACCATGGAATTAAATTGAGTTTGCACCATTGTAATAAATTTTATTAACGTAGAACATGCCTCATGCTTGTCACGTAAAAGATAGACCCATACATGACGACTGAAATCATCCAAAATAGTTAGAAAGTACTGAGCACCAGATGCAGAAATAGTTCTATATGGTCCCCATAAATCACAATGGATTAAATAAAAGGAGTACAAACTATGCTTTTTATTGATAGGGAATGAATAGGGTGTTTGTTTGGCTCTACAACACACATCGCAGGAAACTATTTTATTTGAACTAGAAACAAATGGCAGCAAATCCAAATAATATTGAGAAGGATGTCCCAAGCGTCAATGCCACAAATTGAAAGAAGAGGAACCATGAGTCACATTTACAGAAACTGATTGGCAAAGTACATACACCCCTTCATGCTCAACACCCTGTCCAATCATCCTCCTCGTCTGTAGGTCCTGTAAAAAATAATTAGAATTATTAAATACAGCCATGCAGTTATTGGAGCATAGCATTTGAGAGATAGAAATCAAGTTGCACGTAAGAGACGGCACGTAAAGAACATTGGTAAGTAGCAATAGAGATGTAAGCCTAACATCCCCGCATTGAATTGCAAGAGTACGATCACCATTGGGTAAGCCTATTGAACAAGGAGGGATGGTGCGTATGTTAGAGAGAAGAGAGACAGTCCCAGTCATATGTTGGGAAGCCCCACTGTCAAGAAGCCAAGAGTGTTTGGAAGATACTGTACCACATAATTTTTCAGTGGGCGTTTTGGAGGAAACAACGATTGACATCAACCGTTGAAGCATTTCAGGAGTAAAATCCATAATTGATAAAGGTTTGGAGGGGCCACTATCATCGAAAGATGCACCAGATTGAGTGGGATGAGCAGAAACGGAAGCAGAGCGTCCTGTCAAAGTGCGACCACATCCACGGTCGCGACCAACAGTAGGGCGATCGGGGTAGCCATGGAGTTTATAACAGCGAGAAACATCATGATTAGGACGTCCACAATGAGTACAGGTAACGCGTAGCTTAGATGTATTTGTGGGTATATTAGTGGTGGCGGCACAACCTAACGCGTCTACAGGGTTCTCAGAAGAACGAACAATAGCTTTGTGATTCCTCTTGAGTAACCATAGCAAAAACGCGATTAACGGTAGGAAGTGGATGTGTTGTAGAAGACATGACAAAAAAATTTTAGGATCGTCAAGCTCTTGATACCATAATGGAAGTTGCTGTGAATCTGCAGCTTAACTTTATTATTAATGAAAACAGTCATTATATAGAATGACCGTAACAGAATTACAATCAAATAAAACAAATTCTAACAAATCAATCTTATCAGTAAAATTAACTAGCAAACTATTTGTTATCAGATTAACAATATCAAAACAGATGAATCTTATCCTAATACTCTTTCTCTCTCTCTCTCTCTCTCTCTCTCTCTAAGCTCCATGGATCCCTCTCCCTTTATTTGCTCTAAACCCTTCCTTTCTTTCATCATGTAGCAACAAAGGTCATGCAAGAAGGGGCCAGGAATAGGAAGAGCAAAATGAGAATAAGGTAAGAATAAGAGAAAGATATCTTGGTCCAAAAAAAAAGAGTTAACAAGGAAGCGATGGCATAGGAGGAAAAGATTAACGAGGCAGCGATGACTTACGAAGAAAAGGTTAATAAGTAAGTGGGGAAATAAAATAAAAACAATTTTTTAATTATAATCAACAATTACTTTTATAGGAAACAAAGTTTAATTTTAAACAACCCAACATGAAATGTAGATATACTCCAATAATAAAAAATAAAAATAAAAAAGTTAAGCAATAATATCATAATATAAGAAACCAACTTTTAAGATGCTCCCGGTGTATATTATTTTCTCATTTTTGTATATTTTTACATTTTTCCAACATTTAAAAAATTATATTATTAATTAAAGGAGTAAATGCTAACTTGCTTGGAATGTAAGTCAATGATTTTATATAGCGTTATTAGATTTGGTTTGGATAAGCTAGTCCAACTAGTTAATTTTGGAATTGACCATTTAATCGATCTAAGCTAACTAATGGATCGATATTGCTTTTAATTCATTGCGACTCAATCTGAGTTAGTGGATTTGACTAACTCAATTGGGTCAATGTATTTTTTTTTAGCAATATGACGTTTATGACTTTTTTTTCTGTTATTTTGTTTCCTCCGCTTGTCGCTCTCTCACAACTTTGATCGTACCCCACAAGGCTTGTTATCTCTCCTTTCTTGTAGTTACACACTTCGACAACAATGGTATGACCTTATCGGTGTGGTGCGTTCATCATTTCCTCACCATACATCAACACATCTTTTAGCTTTTGTCATTTGTCCTTACTATACAGTGACATGTTCATCATCTTATCATTAGTAGCGTGACCTTGCTCTAGTGCATGAGTCATTTTTTTTTATCTATTGTTTGCTAGTTGGACTAGATGGTGATTCCTCTATTATTACTTGTTTGTGCATGAGTTTTATTTATTTATTTATATTTTATTTATTATGTTCTCAATTAATTTGATTTTGATTTGATAAGGGTGTCTATAATCTTGAAATTTTAAATGTCTTTGTTCATGAAAATTTTATAATATATTTTTACTTATTTACAATATATTTTTTGAAGCATAAATTTTATATATTGTCAATTATTTAAATTTTTTTAATATAACTCGAGTTAATTAGTAAGTTAGTAGTTTGATTTTTGACCCATTAACCTAGAGATTAGATTGATAACATTAATTTTATGAATTCATTTATTTTTATGCATAGGAAAAAAGGGTTAAAGAGTAAAACAAAATCAATTTTTTTTAATTATAATCAATTGTTCCTTCTATAAGAAACAAAGCTTAATTTTAAGCAACTCAACATGACATGTAGATAATAATAACAATAATAACAATAAATAAATAAATTTATAAATAAAAAGCTAAACAGTTTTATCTTAAAATAAGAAACCAATGTTAAAGATGCTTATAGTGTATATTATTTTCTCTATTTTTCATTTTTCCAACTTTTTAAAAATATATATTATTAATTAAATGAGTAAATGCTAAGTTGCATGAAATGCAAGTCAATGATTTATGGGTTCGTTTATTTTTGTCCATAGGAAGAAATGATTAACCAGGAAGTGATAACATAAGAATAAAATGTTAATGAGTAAGAGACTAAAAAAAACTTAATCATAAACAATTGTTCCTTATATAAGAAACGAAGTTTAATTCTAAGCAACCCAACATGACATGTAGATCTCCTTCAACGATTAACTTTTTTTTTAACCAATTGTATTTTAAAATAAGTAACCAACATTAACGATGCTCTTCGTGTATTTTCTCATTTTTGTATATTTTTATTCTAACTTTCACCATTTCAACACCTAAAACCCCTTCGTCTTTCATTCCTTGGGCTTGGGGGGGTAGTGTACTAGTAGGCACCTTTTCGGTCAAACGATAAGCCGATAGGGGTGCCCGAACCGAGGAAGACACAGTGCACAGGTAGGTACCCCTTCGGTCAGATAATAGGCCGAAGGGGGCACCCGAACCGATGTAACACACTACTACACCCCCTCGGCCTTGGGATGCGCCGAACACCCTAACTACCACCAAGGACGAGCCAAATATCCCTTCGGTGTCAGGCCTAGCAGAACACCTTCCCGGCATTGATTTAGGTCGAACACCTCCTTGGCCTTAGGGTAGGCCGAACACCCTTTCGGCCTTGTACCTGGCCGAAGACTTCAACAAAGACCAGTTCACGAAGAGCATGTGGCAAAACCCTCGGCATTGACTTAGGCCGAACACCTCCTCGGCCTGAGGGTAGGTCGAACACCCTTTCGGCCTTGTACCTGGCCGAAGACTTCAACAAAGACCAGTTCACGAAGAGCATGTGGCAAAACCCTCGGCATTGACTTAGGCCGAACACCTCCTCGGCCTGAGGGTAGGTCGAACACCCTTTCGGCCTTGTACCCGGCCGAGGACTTCAACAAAGACCAGCTCGAACAACACGTGACAAAATTAGACACTTATTATACAGTAATTACCACGCCTGATTAAGAAGAGATTAAGGTTAATTCAAGTGTTACTCATCTCCCAAGGCTGAAGGCCCACTAGGCCCAATTGTGTCACTATAAATACACAGGTGATGTGACATAAATGAGGTACGTTATTATCCAATATAAAGCCTTTATTGCTCTGAACCGAACACTTACTTGATCGTTGGAGTGCCTTTGCAGGTACCCTCCCCCGCCTCTTGGAGGTAGTATTCGGTCGGCACCGAAGACTTAGAAGACTGTAAGGAAGGAGCTACCAGGAGTGTTTCTACGCAGGAACATTTTGGCGCCCACCGTGGGGCCGAAACCAATACGGTTCTCGACCCTTGAAGCAAGATGGTAGCAACAAGAAGCCAGCAGGAGAACGCAGCAACCCACCCCTTCGGGATGCCCCGAGATACCACTGGACAACAGACCAATCACAATGAGGAAGGAATGGAGGAATCCTACGTAGAGCGATCCCAACAACCTAATCCGTCATCGGCCATCGAGCAATTGAAGGCTGAAATGATGGAACTAAGGAGGCTCCGAGAAAAGGACGCTCACGAGTTATCAGTTCTAAGGAAGGAAAATGCAGAACTCCAAAGTGACAATCGATCTTGGCACCCATCCCACGACATCCCAAATACTCTATCACCTAAGGACCAAGGGGAGTCTTCAGGGTGGTACAAAGAAACAAGAGATCTTAAACCCCCACCAGGAGCGACAGCTACTACTCTCGACCAGCAACTAAGACAAGGAAGGACGCCGTTCACACCAGATATTGTCGGGGCCCATTTGCCCGACAATTGGAAAAACTTGGCCCTGGAGAAGTATGACGGGACCGCCGACCCGGAGGAACACCTTGATGTATTCGTCACCCAGGTCGGTCTATACACGGACGATGATGTTATCCTTTGCAAGGTCTTTCCCACTTCTCTAAAAGGACCAGCACTCAACTGGTTCACGAGGCTCCCACCCGGATCAGTAGACTCGTTCACGTCCCTATCATCCCGTTTTGTGATACAGTTTGCCACGAGCCGTCCTCATCAGCTCACATCGATCGCATTGGTCAATATACGCCAAGAAAAGAAAGAGCCTCTGAGAACTTTTATGGAGAGGTTCGGAAAGATGACGTTATCTATCCGCAACCTGGACCCGGCCATAGCAATGCATCACCTGACCACAGCACTACGACCCGAACCCTTTGTTAATAGCCTATGCAAGAAGCCACCCCGAGACTTAGATGACCTGAGGCAGAGAGCCACAAAATATATGCAGATGGAGGAACTGGCCGAGTTTCGAAGTCAAAACTGACCCGACCTGTTTCTCGCGAAAAAAGAAAGTGACAAGGAAACACCCAGACCTCGCCCTAGAGACATGCCGGATCGTGACAAGAGTAATAGGGGGCCGAGATACATGCAGTATACGCCACTCAACACCAGCAGGGCTAAGGTGTTAGAACAGGCCCTAGCCACCGAAGTATTGGCCGTCCCCCAAAGAGCCATGACCCCACCGCACGCCGATAAAACAAAAGCATGCCAGTTCCACCGGAATAGAGGGCACACTACTGAAGAGTGTTCTGCCCTTCGGGACCGAATTGAAGACCTTGATAAGGCTGGACACCTTCAAAGCTTTGTTCGATCGTCAGACAACCGAAGGAACGACAATCGTCCTGGTAGGGGGGAGTACAGAAGGGAGAATCAGGATCGGGCACCTCGGCGGAATCAATCCCGCGAGCATAGTAGGTCCCAGGACAGAAACAATCAACGGGACCAGAATCAACTTAGACGAGTCATAAACACCATTGCTGGAGGCTTCGCAGGAGGAGGAAGCTCATCTTCAGCCCGGAAGAGACACTTGAGAGCCATCCAGTCGGTCAACGCTATAGGCCGGGCATCTCCCATTCGTATGCCCCCTATAACATTCACTGACCGAGATTTTCAAGGCATTGACCCGGTACAGGACGATCCCATGGTCATCAGTGTAGAGATCAATAACTGTATCGTGAAGAAGACTCTGGTCGATCGGGGTAGTTCGGCGGACATTTTGTACTGGAAGACATTCGAGCAACTGGTCATTCTGGAACAGGAATTGACGCCCTACAATGAACCTTTGGTAGGATTTTTGGGTGAACGGGTGGACACTCGAGGGACGATAGACTTATATACCTACTTCGGGGATGACCAACGTAGGCGGATCATGGTGCGATACGTGGTTGTGAACGCCAACACCTCGTATAACATTCTATTGGGCAGACCCTCTCTGAACAAGCTCCGAGCCATAGTATCTACTCCACATTTGACTATGAAGTTTCCGTTAGAGGAAGGGACCGTCATCATCGTGCATGCCGATCAGAAAACAGCACGCGAATGTTACTTTGCCAGTTTAAGGGTACAACCAACTACAAAGCCAAGACGAAGATAGGGTCGAGCCTATTGAAACAACGGTGCCTTTCCAACTGGGGAAAAATGAAGAGCAGGTTACTTTCTTGAGTTCTCAGCTATCCAGAGCAGATGCAAGAGATATTAAGCAGGTCCTACGAAAGTATTCGGACTTATTCGCTTGGACTGCAGTCGACATGCCGGGCATCGATCCGAGCTTTCATTGCCACCGACTCTCGGTGTGCCGAGACGCCAAGCCCATCGCCCAAAAGAAAAGAAAGATGGGTGGCGAGAGGGCCCAGGCGATAAAGGAAGAGACAACCAAGCTGCTTCAAGCAAGATTCATAAGAGAAGTCAAGTATTCCACTTGGTTGGCCAACATGGTGATGGTTAAGAAGTCAAATGGGAAGTGGCGGATGTGTACAGATTACACGGATTTAAACAAAGCGTGCCCGAAAGACGCTTACCCTCTACCCCACATCGATGCATTGGTTGACGGAGCGGCCGGCCATCAGAGATTGAGTTTCTTGGATGCCTATTCGGGGTATAATCAAATACCTATGTACCCCCCGAACGAAGCGAAAACCGCGTTCATCACGGACTCAGCAAATTTTTGTTACAAGGTAATGCCTTTCGGCTTGAGGAATGCAGGGGCGACTTATCAGCGCCTCATGGACAAGATTTTCCGTCAGCAGATTGGAACATGCTTGGAAGTTTATGTGGACGATATGGTGATCAAGTCCAACACCGCTGCCGACCACCTAAAAGACCTCCACACGATTTTTGACGAGGTACGGAGACACCACATGCGATTGAACCCCGCCAAATGCACCTTCGGGGTAGCCGGTGGAAAATTTCTGGGCTTCATGTTGTCAAAAAGGGGCATAGAAGCCAACCCCGACAAGTGTCAGGCCATCATCAATATGAGAAGCCCTCTCAATGTAAAGGAAGTACAACGTTTGGTCAAATGCATCGCCTCCCTGGCTCGATTCCTACCTTGCATGGCGGACAAATCCAGACCCATTATGTCTCTACTGAAGAAAGCCACCAAATTTAAGTGGACTGACGAATGTGAAGCAGCGTTCCAAACCTTCAAAACAATACTAGCAGCCCCACCCTTGCTAGCCAAACCAGACCCCCAGTTGGACATGATAATATACCTTTCGGCTTCAGACAAAGCTATCAGCACTGTATTAGTGCAAGAAAAAATAGAACCGATGCCGGTATACTTCATCAGCCGGGCCTTACAAGAGGCCGAGACGAGATATCAACATCTCGAAAAGACCGTTCTTGCCCTCGTGCACACAGCTAGGCGTCTCCGACATTACTTCCAGAGCCACAGAATACTTGTCCGAACGGATAACCCCATTGTCAAAGTCTTGCGGAAGCCTGAATTGGCCGAAAGGATGGTCGCTTGGTCCATTGAACTATCACAATTCGATATTCGTTTTGAACCAAGGGGACCCATCAAGGCACAATGCATGGCCGACTTCATCAATGAAATCACACCACCGATAACTCCTGAGCCACACATCTGGACACTACACGTGGACGGATCATCAAACCAACAGGGTAGCGGCGCCGACATTATTTTGGAAGGCCCCGGCAAAACGGTTATAGAACAGTCACTGCGGTTCGGATTCAAAACTTCTAACAACCAAGCAGAGTACGAGGCCCTTCTCGCAGGACTCAAATTGGCAACCGACCTCGGCATCACTAAGATCCAGTGTTTTAGTGATTCTCAAGTAGTGACAGGGCAAGTCAACGACACTTTTCAGATCAAAGAACCAACATTATTGTTGTACTTTCATGCTTTCTAGAAGCTAAAAAGCAACTTTGAAGTCGTCCGAGTCACACACACACTCAGGGAACACAATACCAGAGCCGACCAGCTGGCCAAACTAGCTAGTAGCAAGAAAACCAGCCATTTGCGTAGCATGATACAGCAAAAGCTACTAAGCCCGAGTATCGATGAGGCTGAATGTATGCAGATCGGTCAGGGAAGCCCCTTCTGGATGGATGCCATAGTCAACCACCTTCAAACCGGAGAATTGCCTGAGGATCCCCTCGAAGCTAAGAAAATGAGGACCACTGCTGCACGATATACGTTGATCGCCGGAAAATTGTATAAGCGGGGCATTTCTTCCCCCCTATTGAAATGCCTCGCTCCTGAACAGGCACACTACGTTCTCCGAGAAATTCATGAAGGTGTATGTGGAACTCATTCGGGAAGTCAAACTCTCGCGGCCAAAGTCATCCGTGCAGGATACTATTGGCCAACCCTAGTCACAGATTGTGTTGAGTTTGTTCAACAATGCAAACCGTGCCAACAATTCGGACCGATAACACACCAGCCTCCCGAAGAGTTGCACTCCATCACGGTCCCATGGCCGTTCTCCGTTTGGGGCATGGACATACTCAGACCTTTCCCCCAGCCAAAGGACAAGTGAAGTTCCTCATTGTGGCAGTGGATCACTTCACTAAGTGGATCGAAGCAGAAGCAATAACCACCATAATAGCCAGCAATGTTCAGAAATTCTTTTGGAAGAATGTTATCACACGCTTCGGGATCCCATACGCATTAATCACTGACAACGGTTTGCAATTCACCGATAGGCATTTCAATGATTTCCTTTCAGAGTTGGGCATCAAGCACAAAATGACTTCAGTTGAACATCCCCAGTCTAATGGACAGGCCGAAGCGGCAAATAAGGTTATCCTCAAAGAATTAAAGCGACGGCTTGGGCACGCCAAAGGCTCATGGCCAGATCATCTACCAGAGATTCTATGGGCGTATCGCTGTACTCCACAAAGTTCTACCAAGGAAACCCCATTTCGGCTGACTTACGGCACTGATGCCATGATTCCGGTGGAAGTTGGGGAACCTTCACTTCGGCGACAACAATTCGATGAGGAAACCAACAAGGAAGCTCTCAACATAGACCTAGACCTTATCGATGAAACACGTGAGTCAGCACTAGTCAATATGGAAGCTTGCCGAACCAGGGCAGCTAGGAAAATCAGAACAAAGGTGAAGCCTCGTCAGTTTCGAGCAGGGGACCTAGTATGGCGAGTTACAGGTGAAGCACGCAAGGATAAAACTCAGGGGAAATTAGCACCTAATTGGGATGGACCATATCGGATAAGGCACGACTTGCAAAATGGAGCCTACAAACTAGAAGAACTCAACGGGAAGGTTATACCCCACACTTGGAATGCGACGCACCTAAAGCACTATTTTAGCTAGTATTTCTTATTGTAACTTGTTTCGGAGCACTCTTTTCCTTTCTCAGGTTTTTCCCTCTTGTAAAAATGTGAGAGGTTTTACTGACGAAAGGTTTTTAATGAGGCTCCATATCAATGAAACAAACCCTTTTTTGTGACATCTTTTATCTATTCAAGTCCATTCAAATCAAACTTAATCCCTCTCGAGAACCTTCACTCGGCCAAGGATGAAGTAACAATTCCCTCCCGAGCACTCTCGCTCGGCCAAGGATGAAATAGTTATTCCTCCCGAGCACTCTTGCTCGGCCAAGGATGAATACATGAATCCCTCCCGAGCACTCTCGCTCGGCCAAGGTCGAAACCTTAATTCCCTCCCGAGCATCACTACTCGGCCAAGGATGAATACATGAATCCCTCCCGAGCACTCTCGCTCGGCCAAGGTCGAAACCTTAATTCCCTCCCGAGCATCACTACTCAGCTAAGGAAGAATATACAATCCCCTCTCGAGCACTCTCGCTCGGCCAAGGATGAATACATGAATCCCTCCCGAGCACTCTCGCTCGGCCAAGGTCGAAACCTTAATTCCCTCCCGAGTATCACTACTCGGCCAAGGATGAATACATGAATCCCTCCCGAGCACTCTCGCTCGGCCAAGGTCGAAACCTTAATTTCCTCCCAAGCATCACTACTCGGCTAAGGAAGAATATACAATCCCCTCCCGAGCACTCTCGCTCGGCCAAGGATGAATACATGAATCCCTCCCGAGCACTCTCGCTCGGCCAAGGTCGAAACCTTAATTCCCTCCCGAGTATCACTACTCGGCCAAGGATGAATACATGAATCCCTCCCGAGCACTCTCGCTCGGCCAAGGTCGAAACCTTAATTTCCTCCCAAGCATCACTACTCGGCTAAGGAAGAATATACAATCCCCTCCCGAGCACTCTCGCTCGGCCAAGGATGAATACATGAATCCCTCCCGAGCACTCTCGCTCGGCCAAGGTCGAAACCTTAATTCCCTCCCGAGTATCACTACTCGGCCAAGGAAGAATACACAATTCCCTCCCGAGCACTCTCGCTCGGCCAAGGTCAAAACCTTAATTCCCTCCCGAGTATCACTACTCGGCCAAGGCCGACCAAACAACCATTACCACACCAACATTAAACAATCATTTATGCCCACCTATAACGAGGTACCGACCCTATCGGCCAAAGAAAAACTTGGAAGAAACTCATTTCTACAACTCAGATCCGAGCCACTTCGGTCTTTAAAGTTGAATCGGTCACAATTAAAATGAGAAACAAAAAGTATAATACGGATAGAAGTGAAGAACAAATTCATTTAGACTCTAAGATCAGAACGACACTATTGGCCGAAGGGTACAAGCAAGCATGGCTCAAACGGCCCAAAAAGAATCAAAAAGCAAAAAGACCGATATACTTATATACATCATTAACAAAACAGATGTATCATCAAAAAACAAAACACCAACACCCTTCAATCCGCATGGGTGGTCTCCTCGGTCTCCTCATCTTCATTCACGGTCGTCCCTGGATCCTCCGCGGGGGCTGACCGGGGCGGTGGCATGTCATCCGGCTCCATATCATCCGGCGCATTAGCGAAATCCATAAACTCCCCCTAAAAGAAGTCTTTACTCAGCTCGAAGGAGAAGTCCGGGGGAAAAGTGCCGAAATGATTGGCTTGCCGAACGGCGTGTCAAAACCCTTCCTCGTGCTCCTTCACAATTTTGCCTTCACATTCAGCCCGGAAGGTCACCATGGCAGCATCGGCTTCGGCCTTCGCCTGTTCCACGTCAGCCT